TCGTTGTCTCACGTTACATTTACGACCCTTTAATAAATGAAAATCTGTAAATCTGTAAATAACGGTTATTTATTAAAATACATAATTTGAGCATCACTTGCGCGCTAGTTTTTCAATGTGTGTCTAGCATCATGACTCCATTTATGCAAGTTTAGCAAATTTTAAATAATTTTAAATAATTTTTGTGATTACTTTTGGGTCCATTAAATTTGGGTTTCATTAAAAAATTTTGATTTCAACTTTATACAGATTTTACAAGAGTTATTAAGATTTGTATAATATTGAAATATACATAAAACAATGAATGTGAAAGTCAATTAGTTTCTAGACATAGGGGTGTAAAAATGCGTGGGTCTAGCCTGCACAACAAAAACAAGACACCTCTTTACAGTCGCAGCCTACGCTGCTTTTCTGGATTCATTGCCCTTTGGCCGTATAATATGGCCCTATGCGAATCGGGCAATTCACCAGCGGTCGTTCGCCGCAATCGGCACCACGTCGGCGTATTTGTCTTTCGAGTATCGCGATTGATTCGCATTGTTGTGCTAAAACCCCATAATGGAACCTGGGTTTCGTACATTAAATATCTGTACAATCTGTAGGACGATGTATATGTATTACACGCATTCGACTTAAAGGTTTTGGTAATATTGTTAAGGCAAAATCTTATCAATGAGATAAATTTTGAGCTTGTAATCGAACGTCATTCATGTTGTTACCACTTTATTCCCTGCTATGTTAAATTGATTAGCAGAACTAGTGGGGCCTTAAGGCAAATTGCTGGAATTTCCCGTACCAAAAATTATTTTTATTTTAAAAGAAAACATTTTTGAAAAAAATTTACTCTGAAAAATTAGATTTTTGAAAAACTATAAATGTTTAAAAAAATTACGTTTTTTTGAAAGAAAGACTTTTTGAAAAAAAGTGTATTTTGAAATATTTTGGAAATTCTGAGCTTTTTTTCAAAGCAATCGTACTGCGTGCGGAACCCATAGGAATGTAAACAAAATTTATACTTATTGTTAAAATCTCTATAAAATATCTGATAATTTGATTTGCATATGTCTAATGATCATTTTTGAGCGCCAGATGGCAATCTTTTTCACTTTTCCTGACCTGCCTTCATGAAAATTTGATCAGTTCTTCATCTTCTTAATACAAGTAAAATGTTTTTCGAATTATTCAAATCAGACGCTCCGTCCTCTTAAAAACTGAGTTACCGTTTTTGGCACTTTTTGCCCCATATCTTCGGAACGGCTAGACCTGCCTTCGCCAAAAACTAATCAGCACGTCTCCTTATCAATACGAATCGAATGTTTTTTGAATTATTCAAATCGCTTACACACACGCACACACACACACATACACACACACACATACATCCATTTTTTCTAAGGTATGCCAAAATATTCAGAAACCTCTGAAACGTAAAGATATATAAAAATTTTAATTTTCGATTTTTTTGCGATTACTATAACTTACCCTACGGGAGTTAAAAATAGGTTTCCATTCTCCAATCAAAATTACTTAGAAACAAGTTTTTTGGCAGAGATGAGAACTATGTGCTCTTTGAGATGTGATTGCTAATTATATTATTCAAGCACACAAAAATATGTAATCGTATATTAAAATCATCCAATGATAAGAGAAATTGACATCGTCGTGAATCGAAAAATCGCTTATTTTATTAAACTTATTTTACGCACTCGTGCCCCTGAATATACACACGGCTTAGATTCACTCTCTCGAATAAATTAAACATGAATGCTTTTGGAAGTCTCTAAAAAGCTTATGAAAATCCGCAGATTGAAGAAGAAACAGATCTTCTGATATTTATTTATACATGAACTTTATATATATATATATATATATATATATATATATATATATCCCCATTTCAAAGCTTTATTTGATTGTTTATTCTACTACACAAGGTATGTCTCAACATTCAAGAAATATTCAACTGTTCATATCAAATACAATACTATATACACAATATATGTAACTCTTTTGTTTTACGAGATAGCAGTTTCAAAGTTCGGTTATCACAGCATTTGTGAAAATTTATGAAACCATTTATTATTCAGAATGAGATTTGATAATAAGTTGTCTAATTGAAATTTGTAGTAATCTAGTAATTGAAGTTTTTTATCTTATTTCTAAAAATATCACTTTTCAATAATATCAATAATAATATCATATAACATATGTATATAGATACACATATTTAAAATGTATATATATATATATATATATATATATATATATATGCAGAAATATGTTTTTGTTCAAACATTCACAGAGTTGTATTATCTCTTCCAGTTCATTTAGCATATTTTTCACTTATGCACTTCAACAAGTATGAACCAAAATTGCATAAAGCTTTTTGTATTTTATGAAAAGATGGTAATAGTGTACGCACTCATATATATATATATATATATATAATGCATATATATATATATATATATGCATATGAAATCAATATTCAACGTTAATTATTTGATCTATTATTGCAACTCATCTGGTTCAAGGTTATTTCTGCAAAAATCAATGTGCATAATTAAAGTAATTTCTTCTGTCCGAGTGCACAGAAGTTTCTTCAAGAACATTTGTCAAGTATCATGAGATTACTTTTTTACAGTTGGAATTTTTCATCGATTTTGCACTGTCGGAACTTATTTTAAATCGCTGTTCGAACTTAAATTGAATGCCGAGAATACGTAGAGTCCTACCTCATTACAAGAAGTCAACAATGATGAGTTTTCTCCTTTTCCCTCTATCTAGAAAATATTCTTGTGCTATCCAATTATTTTCCTCAATTTATACATGTATCTAAAGCTAAGAAAAATCGATTTACTAGAATGCGCTTAAATCTTTCTTGTTTCCATCAGTTTTTACGTGAACTTGTTATGCAAGTTGTGAAGGCAAATTGGCATCTCATGGTACTATTTTATTCAACTTTGACATTAGGAAGTTACCAGCTAAATCCTAAATGGGGAAAACTGATTCAAGAATTAATTTCATTAGTAGTGTATTAATAGTATTAATAGTAGATGTGCAAATTGAGGCAGCAGACATTTTGATAAAAAAAGCGAGAAAAGTATAGCACTTTCAGATCAGCAGCTTGCCTGCGGCAGAATGATCGTAGTTTCTAAAATTGATCCCCTGCCAATAAAAATTTTATTTAACTATCTGATTGCTTTTTCTTTATATTATTACAAATATTAATTATAAATCCTTTCCTATTATTGAATTAATTATGATACCGTTTACCAGACTTTTGAATTCATCATCAATACAACGATTCAGATTAAATTTCTTTTCATTTCAAAAGGCATGGAAAAATCTTTTCTAATTAGGCTCTTTTATCATAAACCATTTAACATTTACACTTCCGTCTTCAACAAATGGTCATTAAAATGATAAACTTTTGTTGGAGTTCTACAAATTACGAAATTTGCTAACATAAGTACTTTTTAAGATTATAAAGAAGTAATATAAAACTCGAAAACTTTCCGGTACTAAAGAAGTCTGGCCCTTTACAATAGACTGAATGAATGAATTTTAATTGGCAGACTAATAACAGGGTTGTTTTATAAGATGTTGCTTTATTGTGACTGTTGTTCTCTCATTGTTATTTGTGTAATAATGATACTTACTGAGAATTCTTGTAATAATTATTTCTAGTATGATACAACAAAGAGTAAATAATCGATAAGTATAAACAAAGTTTGAGCCAGAGGCTTATGGGCAATGTGTTGTCGTTTGTTAAAGTTTTTATCAAGTTAGATATATATATATATATATATATATATATATATATATATATATATATATATATATATATATATATATATATATATATATGAGTGAGTTCTTGAGGGCGATACATCAAACAAAGAAAAGCCAAAGATTTATAAAATAATCTTTATTTCCAAACGTTTCGACATTCAATTTAATGTCATCATCAGTGGATATTACGTTGGTTAGTTACATATAGAGAAATGTACACAGCACTAGAGATTTGGCACTAACATTTATACAACTAACTTGTCAGCACTATGCATTTTTTTATATAATTTTTAATAAGATACATGCCTCGGTACTAGCAAAGTACAGAAGTCGTGGCAGAAATTACATAATTCTACTTACATTTTTGTTCAATAAAACTATCATTTTTCTGTTTACATCATACAAAAAAATTATATAAAAAAATGCATAGTGCTGACAAGTTAGTTGTATAAATGTTAGTGCCAAATCTCTAGTGCTGTGTACATTTCTCTATATGTAACTAACCAACGTAATATCCACTGATGATGACATTAAATTGAATGTCGAAACGTTTGGAAATAAAGATTATTTTATAAATCTTTGGCTTTTCTTTGTTTGATGTATCGCCCTCAAGAACTCACTCATATATTTCAACATCAAAATTAACTACTAAATCATATATATATATATATATATATATATATATATATATATTACATATGTACAATCATGAATAAAGTATCAATATTTTTTAAAGTAATGAAAATATTGTTAATTTTTGCAAGTTGATGAATTGGTTGCTAATTGTACCAAACATAATTCAATCTAATACAAAACATCAAAATATATATAGTTATAAATCAACGTAATTGTTTGCCAAATCATGTCAGAGTAAAATAACAGTTCCTGATGCAATATGTTTGAAACGAGAAAATTGCTTTATAATAAAATAATGAAAAGTAACGTGCGGATATACAAATTGGAAACGAAATTATTATTAATGTTGCTGTAACTTTGAGCGTTGTAATTAAATATGTTGAATTAATGTCTGTTCGAAACTACTAGCTATATTTTCTATTTTATAATATTTTCTAATATATTTTTCTAATATAAATTTAATACAAAATTATATTGCGTTTACCAAAAAAAAATTCTGTGAAATACGAATTCAAGTATTTTTACATTGTAAATCTTTTTGTACTAGTAATATTTTCTTTTAATTTCAGGAAACTTGATGGTGATTTTGGTGGTTACTCTATCAAGACGTTTACGTTCGATCACGAATTTTTTCCTGGCAAATTTGGCAGTGGCAGATTTGTGCGTTGGAATATTTTGTGTTCTGCAAAATCTATCTATTTATCTCATACCAAGGTAAATAATTGCATAAATTAAGGTTAGATTCAGACTAAAAAATATGGGAAAACTATTATTTTATATGTTCAATCATCGCAAGAAAGCTTCAGGAAAAGGAGCAGTAGTGACAACTGTTTTCACTTGGAAATTTAGGTGGAAATTTGTTACCAAGTGAAAATAACCCTTTCACAAAATTGTTGCATAATTTCGTCAGTATTGCAAAAATTCTAATAATTAACTTTTCACATGCAGATAGGACAACTGTTAATATTGTCATCTATAAATATCGTTGTAGATAGTTGAGCCAAATTATCACAACAGTTTCCCGGTCCCTTAAATTCTGATCGCAGATTAAATAATACTAAAAAAAACAAACACTATTAGGTAATTTAATATTTAATTTGCTGTAACCTATTGATTTTCGTTATGATCTATCGACATGCCTCTATTTATACATCAAGGGAATGGAATTAATTCTCAAAATACAACTATTGCGTACTATTTATAGTCGAACCTTCGGTTGAGAGAACTTTGTGCATTTTATATAAAGTTCGCAACTTTGTCAAGTGCTAATATATCATGGTACCCCCTTACAATGCCTCATGTGACATACATGGTTCAAAGATATTTGACAATTCCGAACCGAGAGAGAGCGATTTATTAGACTTGACTTGCCAAGCCGAAACTTCACTCGAATAATTATATCTGTACTAAATTGCAAATATTATATGTTAGATATTGCATAGTTGTCAAACAGAATCATATTTGAAATCACGGTTATCCATTATATCGAATTTGTAACAATTAGGATTACTTCAGCTCATGGAGCTCATTTGCGATGCAGTGATTGCTACTTAATGTTTCAGATGTAATTTGATGAACTATGTATATTAGATACTAATCGATTTAGTATATTAATATTAGCAAGAAATCATTATGTTAATATTATATTTTTATTGCTAACTAAAATGCAGCATTCCTATTACTTTTCGGCAATTTGTATATAGAGAGAATATGAAATATTTAAAACTTTATCTGTGTTTTATCACTATACAATGTTGCCGTTGCTGTAAATAGAAAATTGCTGTTGCCTTAAATAAAAATTTGCCGGTGCTTTAAATAAAAAATTACCCCGGCTCTAAAAAGAAATTTCTCATGAAATGGAAATTTCCATTACTGAAAAGCTGTTGCTGTAAATAGAAATTTGCTGACGTCGTAAATAGAATTTTGCGGTTACCGCGATTAGAGTTTTGATGCTGATATCAGTTCAAAACTATTGTTGCACTAATGTTACTTTAAAATTTCTTTTATATAGCAATTTTAATATTTTAATTATAAAACAACTTTAAGTGAAATCTTTTAATTTACAAAATATCGCTCTTTTATTTTAATTTCTTCAGCTAGATGTATGATAAATTGTAAGAAAAGTGGCAAAGAAATTGAAAACAAGAATAACAGAGCGTAGTAATCAAAATGAGATTTATCAACTTCACAACATATTTTTTGAAACACAGCACATCTTTCTGACGCTAACTTGGCTAATATATACTACATATTTATTAGTAGAAAATATTTTTAGTATTGATATTTTCAAGTGAACACTCCCCATTGGTCAAAACCAGTAATTGTAAGAAAAACTAATTTGAAATACAAAATGAGAAAACTTTTCATCGTTACAGATGTGCTTTCTAGAGTAGGTACTTAAATAATGTATTGCAAGATAATGGATCCTTCCTGCTGGCTAAAGCTAAAATAGAAAATAGTTTCTACGAGATCTGCAAGTTAGTACTTAATTAATAGAACACAAAATTACGTTCTTTCTTATCAGCAAAGTGAACGTAAATAGTTTTTAACGAGCTCCGACTTTTACACGCTCTGCTGGACTAGAGATTTTTTAAATAATTTAGAATATTACTCGAATCATTATGAATCCGTAATAAGTTATGCAATTTATTAAATATTGCATGTATTTAAACAAGATAAAAATCAATTATGAAGAAAAGTTCTTCACATAAATCTTTGAAATTATAGCACAGTTTTCCTGTTTATTATCACAACTATAATGTAGAATATTGTGAAGATAATCAGTAATATATAAGATAATAAGTAATCTGGGTTTAATTCAGATAGTAGCTACAAACCCCCATAGGTAATTACAGGTACTTTAGCGGGCGACAATTGGACATGTAGCAGCATCGCCCCCAAAGATGCCTCTCAACCCCAATTAAATTGTCACAAGATATTTATAATTAAAAAAAAAGACAAAACTTTGCAAACCACATAATTTTATTATTAGACTACCTATAGTCTATAGATCTATACTAATTATTACTGCTATTGGCAATCTCGTATTCATGTAGATTGTACATTCATTTGTGTAACAATTCATTTATGTAGTTACATTTCAAACGCGTTATTAAATCCGAGAATATGAATATACGTGTAAGCTTTTCAACAAATATTTTTCAGAAAGCAATTTAAAATTCAGAAACAGAATTCGTGTATTTTTTGCTGAAAAGTGCATTAATTTGTTTGTTCCGCTCAGAACTCGAGAGCGTGTTATGCAGTTTCAAATATTCGCTAATACCATTGCTGCGAATTTTATGAACTCTTCAACTCGATTTAAAATTTAAATGAGTAAAATATTATATTATATATAAAATACACATAATACAATAGGTATGCATGCATAAAAAAATTCTGAAATTAAATGAATAAATTGTTAAAGATGCGATTTGATAGATAACCGTAAAGCAAGCTTTATATTTATATTTTAAGGATCGTGTAAAATTTTGTGTCAATTATTATAACGTGTGTCATGAATATATATATATATATATATATATATACTAGATGACCCGACAGACGATTTCCTGTACCCATGTCTACAATTTTTTTAATATAAAGTACTAACATTCACCGTTTACCTAAAAATAATAATTATTGTTACGCCAAAATGCATATAGGTTTATAATATGAGCTATGTTAAATGTAAAACTGCTTTAAACAATAACATGTTTTTTTCATTTAATTCTACAATATTGCACATACATCCCAGTATGTACTTTATAATCACATACATACTAGAAAATTTTCGTAACAAACTTCAGAAAGATTTATCAAAATCCGTATAATCGTTCAGGAGGAGTACTTGTAATCAGTGAGTACTTGTAATTTAATATGAACTTTATATAATAGAAATAAAGCTCAAATTGATTCTACGTTTTAGTTAGAAAACGTTTGTATTTAGAAAAGGGCTGTTTATAGGGATTTCCCGGCAATAATTCGATTTTTTCTCGCCGTAAGAACCATCTTTGGACTTCAACGAACATTTCAAAGAAAGAATTGTCCTAATTTATTGAAGATTCATTTTTATATTATAGATATAAGGCGACCAAATACAGCCCTGTGTAAAGTGCATCCCTGAATAGGTGACAATCTTTCAATACCGTTACCTGAAGCGATATAAATTCGAGGTGCCAAAGGCCGACTACTCGTCGGCCAAATTATTTTCAAACGTATATTAAGTATTCATATAATAAAACTCCAATTTATTCAGACATTTGATATAATTTATCAAAAAAAAAATAAACAAACAAAGATATTAATTTGCTAACAAATGCGCTTTGATGCTGAGGTTTCTTGGATTTCTGTTGTGGTAGATTTAGCGCAATATCAAACTAGTTTTTAACTATTTGCGGATTATTTGAAAATACAGTTTTGTATCAATATATCATTTTCTATTTCAGCTGGGTGCTTGGAGATTTCCTGTGCAAGATGTACCAGTTCGTGCATTCCCTGAGTTACACGGCTTCGATTTTTATCCTGGTCGTAATTTGTACGGAAAGATATTTTGCCATCATACATCCTATCACTTGCAAGCAAATACTGACGCCGACGAGACTCAGGGTAAGTTAAAATTCATCTAGTTTTTTGGGTAATATACATCTAGTTTGATTAAGATACATATAATAGTAATTATATAAATATATACATTTTTAATCTGAAAATTAATCAATACAATTCCTGTGACTCATGCTTTTTTTGTTATTTCTGCCGTTTGATATTGCCTTGCCTTAAATCAAAATGCTAGTTCATATAGAATAAGAAACGTCGCACTAACATTTAATATGTATTTTTCTCGATATTACTCAGGGTAAACAATATGCGTTTCAAATAAAATTTCGTCTTCAATTTTGAAGAAATATACAATCCACCGCTTTGGCATATTTAACGCATTGATGATTACATTTCTTGCTTTGTAAACAAATGTAGCAAACAAGCGTAGAATCTCATGAAAACAATCTAATGATCATCTCATTTGATAATATCATGAAGGTTTATATGTACATCGTTGTATGAGATTCAAAATCCAAGTATTTATTTAGAAAGACTTCAAACTCAGCGACGGTCTTAAATAAAATGTAAGCTGCAATATGCTGAAATCAGATGGAGGTAAAGTAAAATGTTTATGAAAAACGGATTTTGGAATAAAATGCTAGTAAATTGGGGTAATAGTGCAGGAGTCCAACTTAGAATATACTTGAAACATTTATCAAATTCTATAAGTCACGTTTACTGAATTATAACAACTGTTAAAATAATATCTCTTCAAAATTAAAATGTGTTATTTGATTAATTAAAGTCAAATTGGACTTTTGTGCCCCGCCCTACTTTATATATACATAAATATATATATATATATACATATATATATATATATACATATATAATATTTTTGTATACTTATGTATACCTTTTTGTTGCAGTATTAAGACAATCGAGGTTTAGGTCGCAATTTCACTGATTGATATACGAAAATATATATTATACTACAATTCTTTAACAGATTTTTCCTATAGATGTTGTGGTAGTTTTCCTCCAATATCCATATATTTCCACCCAATTCTTGATTTCTCCAATTAATGTCGCTTTACTGATAGATCTTGTCAGGGAATATTTCATCTGCACTCCGACGAAGTAAGATTGCAACTCATACGAAAACTTTGCTAAGAAAGTGCTAAGCCAATATAAATTTAATCCAATCAGTATGTTACACGATCTGTGCTAGAAAATTTACCTAATGCAAAATTTCTCATATTTGCGAACCGGCGGATATAATAGGATTAAAATAAAGCTGAACGGCTGAAGCTTAACTAACGTCTCTATTGGATTAAAAAAGATGCATTTGTTGATTATGAAAGGGTAGTTAAAATTTAATGAATTTTTTTGAATTCACTGAAAAAAGTCTGAATTATATATATATATATATATATATATAATCTGCCAGTACAGTTCTACTCGAAGAGTAATCCGTGAATAGCAATGGAGCACTACACTTTACCTCTTGATCCAACATTATTTTTTTTATACATTTATTCTCACTTTCTAAAATTGAATGTTTATTTTAATAAAAACGTATTTAATAAAATTTAAGTATTTTCGAATCATTACTATTCTTTTTTTTGTCCAAATCAGACCTCAAAATATCATTCAGCAAGTCAGTCCTGCCAGGTAACTCCAGCGGGTCGTAAGAATCTAAAGTAAGGAAAATAATTATTTATTATGTGTTTCATATTTAGCTATTTTACAGCTATTTTTGATAGTATTAGTTTTTTTACTTTACGTTCAAGGGCAGGACTCTATGCTAGGTTAATAACATTTATAAAAAACTAAAATTATTGGCCTCTTGAATCTATATAACAAAATAAATGACCAAAGTGAATAATAAATCCAGAGTAAATTAAAATAATACAACAATCCCGTACATCCAAACAAACTTTTTATTCAAAATGTTAAGTTAATATTTGAAAACCAAGCAATTTTAGTTAAATTTGGAGGTACTTATTGATGGATTGGTTACAAATATTTTACTTCGAAAATGAGTCAAGGTTGTGAACTATATTCTAAGTTTTATACAAGTTGGTTGTGTTTCACACCCACATATCTCAATTATTTATTAATAATATTATCTGTACTTTCATTCGCGATTTCTAAAAGTAGCAAAATTTCTAATGGTTATATTTGAGCATCCTATTATTACTGTGACATTTCGAATAAATAATGAACGTTAGGCTATATTCTCGATCTTGCAATTATTTATTTATAATGGTTCTGAGGTATTAAATCGATGGCTGGTATTTGCGGTGAATAATTTATTTTGAATCTTACCCTTGTCTTAGAACTGAGAGCCAAATGGACGTTTTAATCCACGTCTTCCATCTTAATTGCATTATGATGAGAAAACCATTACCTATATTGGGTATTAGTGATCGGATTCATTCAATTATTATGTATTAATAATATTCTCATAATCAGAAAAGGCGAGCGAATGTTGCGAAGGGAATAATTGTATGAGAATTCTTGGGTGTTGTCTTTTGATGAAATCATATATTATATATATATATATATATATATATATATATATATATATATATATATAACAACTCATATAAATATGTAATAATTATTAGCAAATATTATCTTTGCCTTCACTATGATCATTATGTATTTATTAATATATTATAAATTATATAATGAAAAATATAGGGTAGTTTGTACAGTAAATATAGGTAAATATTATCAAATATATTGTAAATATATTTGTCCAGCTTTTGTGCAAAAAATTAAAATTTAATTGGTAATAACATTGTGCTCTTTAGATATTGAATTCATACGTTCATGTACATAGATAAATATGAATATTTCAAAAATCAATTAGACCGAGCTGGTATTTTGTGCAAAAGATGTGATGAATGTGCATTTATTTATTTATTTATTTTATTTATTCATAAGCAAGCCGTAATCAATAATAATAGATATTATTTCAGGCTCTTGTCAAGCTTATTCATAGTTAATATTAAAAGGATAGTAATTTTATAATAATCATAGTAGCTGCACAAATTTCGCTTCTGAAAAAAAAGAGCTGAAAAAAAAAAGCATTCGAACATTAAATACAACGTTCATCATCAAGTTCATCATATTGAAGTCTATTTGACCACCAGTCAAGCTCAAAATTCTTGCACAAGTTTGAAAGTTATACTCATTAAAAACCGTAAAAAATTTAAATTAATAAAATAGCAATATATGAAAAATATATATGGTTGTACAGGCGATCAAATGGTCAGACTACATAGATAAAGGATAAGGATTATGCAAGAAAATAGTTATTGAAATCAAATTGAGAAAATTCAGTAATGTCATAAAAAGCTAAGTCTTTAAAAAGTTTAACTAGGGAAGCATGAAATTTTTTGCTGTCTAGGTTTCGGATATTGAGTGGAAGTTTCTTCATTTCATGCCATTTCGTTCCGAACTGAATATTTTATTTATAAATCTATCTATCTTCATTTGTTTCCTCTCGCCGGTTTCAAATTTATATATTTCGACCAGATCGTGACACGATATTCGAAACTATTGTTGATATTAAATAAAGCATTTCACCAAACTTTTCAGATTCAGTATTTGACACTCTGGACAAATTATTGATGAATCGATGAATACTGAATTGTCACACTAGTCTCTGCTAACAAAATGATAAAATTTAATTTATCGTTATAACTATGAATTCGATCTGATGGTAATGCAGAATTCAAAACTATAAATTTATTATTTTATGAGGCTTTGTATTTTGTGTTTTTAATCTCCTGGAAATTGTTATGATATAGCAAAAAAGTATCGATAATTTTATTTTTTTACCTTATATTGAAAGAGGGGTATGCAAAATTACCATATATTGTTTATGGGGGTATACAATACTTTTGAATAAATTTTGTGAAATTGGTTAAACAAACCATTTTCTAATTTAAATATCTAATACCTCTTAGCAACTACTCTTTATTTATTTTGTGCCTTAATTACCGTACAATTTTATACTCTACTACTCGTAAAACGCAGATAATATGAGTGGAATGTTTAGTATGCACACAAATTGCATTTTTAAATTTATACTATCAATCTAAAGTTAACGTAACCGTGTATTATATTAGTGAACAGAAACTTAACTTAACGGGTACGCACGAACGCTGCTCGCGCCTCGATGTCGTATCCTAGCGGGCTAACCCGAGCGCTGCTCGCCAAAGTTAATGTTTATGTTTTATGCGATAAAAGGCTTACAATGGCCCGTTGTTGAGATATGTTTAGTTTAGATATGATAAGTACAGATCAATTAATAATTGTATATATAATAAATCAATCTTTAACGACTTTTGAGAATAGAAATAAACATGTAAAAACCGCCTAAAAAACGGGCAGTGGAAAAATATTTCGAAATCCATCATATGACAATATTTTTTTTATTATTATAATATAAATAATTAAATAAGTAATACTTTTTGTCCTTGAGATATATTAGTGATTGTACATGAATTTTTCACCTGAATGACTGATTTACTTGAATTTTCTTATTTGTTTATAAATTTGTTATATTATTTTCAGAGAAATAGATATTATTAAAATTTAAAAGTTATTAAATAAAAATTTCGTATTATTTATCATATTATAACACAATAGTTTATAAATAGAACATAAAGGTAGTCCAAAAACCATCAAAGCGGTCATCAGTATTATAATATATATTGTTAATTTTAAACAAAAATAAAATAAATAAAAAGAAAATGTTATCAGAAACACATATTACATTAATTAAACTTTGAAAATCCACAATAAAAAAACCTGCTCTTTTAGATCACTTTTCACGAAAAAAAACCCGACCGTTAAGTGGTTAAAGCTGCCACAAATTGGTGGTAAATGTGTTCCGAAGTGCCTTTGTGAGGAACATGGCTGTTTAATGTTTATAAGCAGCCAATAACATTTAAAATTCCTAGAAGTAAACTGGATCAGGTACTTCAAAATGCTTGCTTCAGCTTTTATAAAATATGTTACGTGGTTTTAAAAGGTTAAAGTTTTGCGTA